TATCACTGTTCTAGACAATTTCGAGACGCGTAAGGCCAGCAACTCGAATAAGAAAGCCCATTTCAGCAGCTTGTATCCGGATTCAAAGTTTTTCAGTGATGGTCCACGACTCATGACCGCGGGTAAACATGAGGATAAGGATTGACTTGAAAACCGTAAGCTTAATTTACAGACCCAGCTCCGCTTTAGTCACAATGGATCGGGCTAATTAACGCAGAAAGCCACTGGCTACACCAATCCAATCCGCAGGTCAATCTCTTCTGCCAATCTTCCATCACTAGTAGATACAATTCCAAGGTACTTGAACATTTCCGCCTCTTCCACTACCTTTCCGTTAATCAGCAGAGAGCAACGGGCAGGCAAACGAGATAGCACTAGGCTTTCAGTTTTAGATGCGTTCACACGCATGCTGGTCACGTCGCACTCGGCTGCAAACTTTTCTAGGGAGCACTGAAGATCATTTTCAAAAGATGCCAATAAAACAAGGTCGTCTGCAAACAGTAACCTTCTCGTCTTCACATCTCCTACAACGATGCACTCATAGCCTTGGCAGTTCCTGACTATTCTATCCATGTACAACACAAACAGGATAGGAGACGGGACGCAGCCTTGGCGGAGACCAATGCGAGCGGTGAATGGTTTCGAATTAGCGACATTAACTTTGATGCAGCATCTGTTATCAGAATACAGTGTTGAATCGCTCTTAGCAGCTGGCTATCTATGCCGTATGCTCAAAGGCTTGTCCACAGACTGTTGCGTGGGATCCGGTCAGAGGCCCTTTCTTGGTCGACGAAACACATGTACACCAGACGGGCATACTCGATTTCTCAACAGTCTGGCGCAGGAAAAAATATATGGTAAGAGGTGCTTTGAACGGGTCGGTAGCCACAATGCCACACTTGTATCTCAGAGTCAGATATTCCGCAGTACCTCCTTTCTAGCACCTTTGCGTAGAATTTACCTGGGAGGCTCATTAAACATGATGCTCCTATAATTGGAGCATTCCTTGTGGTCTCCCTTCTTACAGAGGGGTACAATAACTTCCGTTCTCCAGTCCGCTGGTGCCTTTCCCATAGTCATCGCAGATTGCCAGAAACGTGTATGCCAGCAGATGTCATGTTCATCTAATGCCCTGAGCCTTTCGGGGCGAATTTCATCAATTCCACCAGCCTTTGCATATTTCAATCTTTTCACAGCTTGCGTAGCTTGATCTACAGAGATAGTAGTATTTGTTCCCTGCTACTCTAGAAGTGAGTCATTCTGCGGTTGCTCGACGTTAAGGCGTTCCTCAAAGTACTCCCACCATCGCCGAAAAATGTCACCATCCTTGGTAAGAGGGTGTCCAGTCCTGTCCTTTAAGACTCTGTGACTGCCTTTCTTTTCACCTCGGAGCCGGCGTATGGTCTGTCAGAATGGTTTGTTTGACGTGTGGAAATTCGACTCTAACACCTCACCGAACATCTCCCAGGAATCAAATTTGGCCTTCGGCGCTTCTTTCGCTGTCGCCTCGACATATCGCATGCGAATAGAATGCTCTTTGTTTTGAAGCCATTTCTTTACAGCTGCTTTCTTCTCTTTAACTGCCAGTTGTACCTTTCGTGTCCACCATGAAGATCTTTTCTGACCTCTAGACGGCAAGCCAACCCGTTTAAATCCGTAACATTCGGCGGCAGCCCCGAGTACGTCGCTCTTAAAGAGCTGCCATTCAGATTCCAAATCGGTGGTCATCACAGGGATCTGTTTAAACCGTAGTGCGATGTTGTTTGCAAATTTCGCTCTCGTCTTCACCGAAGATAATGTTTTCCATTTAATTCTGTATTTGCTTCTGCCACCAGATCTTCGTATGGTGCTCCTTTTCTTACAGTGCAGCGTGCAAACAACAAGGTGATGATCGGCTGATTGCTCTGCGCCTCTCTTAACGCGAACATCCATTACTGAGGGTCTTAAATCAGACGATTCGATTATCTAATCGATCGTCGACTTCTGTGCACAAGCTTTCCTGTACCAGGTGTACTTATGCACTCTTCGATGCTCGAAGAAGATGTTCATAATGGACAATCCGTTGTTTGCACAAAACCGCAACAACTTCATGCCGTTGTTTTTGAGGTCGCTAGGGCCGTTTTTTCCAATCAAGGCCGTTCCATTTGTCAGCGTCTACTCGGAAATGCGCATTAAACTCGTCCATGAGTATGGTTTACTTAGTATTCGGCACTTCGTACAGAGCACACAGCAGTTCCTCAAGGAAGGTCTCATATTCTCCCTCCAAATTAGGCACATTGATCTGTACCAAAGTCAATGTTTTAGCCTCTTGTGGCTTCAGTCGGGTTATTACTATCTATCCGCTGACAGTCTTCGAATCAGTAATTCTATCCGCGAGGTTAGGTTCTACCAGAACACCAACACCGGCCTAAGCGCGAGTCGTGATATCGACGCCTGAGTAGTATTGCTTCTATCCTTTGAGGTTCAGGAGTCCAGGGCCTTTTTCATTGACGAGAGTGTCCAACAATGTCGAGTTGGTACTTCATGGCCTCATCAACTAATTCTTGTTCTTTTCCTCTGAGTGAGCGTATGTTCCAATTTCCAACTTTAAGCTCCCACTGGTGATGTCGTTCTCGTGGAGCCTTTTGTGACGTGCTGTAATGACATCGCGCTGTCTGCCTCCTACGTTCAGAACGGGTAGCGACTCCGTTGCTGACTGGTATCTTCGTCGTCGTTACGTCTCTCTTCCGCGGTCGTTGATGTGCCGTTACGCCTCCGACTGGCAGAGTGCATGAGCATTTTGTGATCACCGACTTTTCGCAGTCTGTCTCAATCCCCCAACAGCCTGCGCGGCCCTTGGTAACCC